GTGTGTTGGAGGAGGGGCTCTGTAAGGAAGTCTGAAGGAAGGGGCAGATTGTTTTCGGTTGTGTATTTTCAAATTCTAGCGGACTCGAGCTGGTTCCTCCATTCTTACCTACCCTAACTTTCAGCTTTAGAAATCTTTCGATATTATATTAAATATTTAGGCCTTAACAAAAAAAACATATGCCAGTTGAGAGAAGAACCATTTGTTTTGTACACTGTGGATTTTCTAAAGGGATTTATTATGGTGCGTCTTTTACTCTATATTCACTGTATTGAGAACCTTCCGTCTTTTCTCATTCTGTTTGGTGGAAAATTGGGCACAGAGGTATTGCCTTTTTAATGTCTTTTGAGTGTTGCCTTTCTTAGCAAGTTACAACACAATGGCACTGCATACATTAATAAATCCCTTTATGAATGTGAGTGTGTTGATATCCTCAGACTCGAGACTTTTATAAATTAGTAGGTCAGCCATGAGTGAGAAGACGTGCTGTCATCACATTTTTATAAGCTTGCGGTTCAAACATTTCAAAATCAAATCTAAAGTCTCTTTTGACGAGTCCTTTTTATGATGATATGTTGCTTTTGTTTGTCATGTCTGATCGTACAAAAATGTACATTCAGTAAACAAATGAAGACATGAATTATCACTTGCCATATCTCTCTGTTAATCTGATCATGCTGTTTCAGGACCATTTAGTATGTAGGGTTACTAGTTATTAGGTTTTTTTTGTTTTAAATTGTTCATAGGGTTTTAAATGTTACTGTATAATAAATGCATATATTGTTATTAATTGGCTTATCATGGTGTTCAATATGCTGTACTTAACTTTAAGTAATATCCAATTAAAAACTGTTATTTTCTCTGAATGACTGACTGGCTGAAAAGAACATTTGTCTAACTATTATAAATTGTTGTTATTACTTCTATAAAGGTTAATTTCTTGACACCGCTAACACAAACACAATTTTTGGCCTCTGACCTAAATATCAAATTAACAGTTTACTCTAAAATTAGCAGTAATTAGTCGATTAACACTTTGTCATTCTGTATCATCAAATGAACTGCAATGCATTTCATTGTTAGCTGAAAGTACTGTCCATGTGGGTATTTCAATACAACGTCTCATTGATAATTCAGACTCTTGAATGTCCCTCTTTGCTTCCCTTAGGCGATTGAAATTGCGTAATCATGTTATGCGAGTAGACATTTACCGGGGCAGGGTCCGAGTGGGGTGTAAGATTTAAAATGGATCCACCTGTCGATAACGGCGGACTTCACATATACTATTCTATGATGAATAATGGAAACACATTGTTTGTTTGACTGAACAACACAATTACTGTGAATCAATGAGTGCATTGTCAGGTAATAGGATAATCAGTTTCTCTCCCCGGGGAAAAGTACTATAGAAATGTGCTGCTCGTCTCCCTCTGTCTCTCTCCAAGGTGCTGAAGCTTGCAAAGGCACTATTTTTCTGCCTCATTACTCTCATTCAAGCCACCGCAGTGTCACCCTGTCCACCTCAACCTGTTTGAATCCAGCCATGACCTGACGAACACCCACAACACTTTTTCCACTACGGAGCAAAAACCTCTGTTCCAGACCACGTTAGAAATGTTTTTTATATTTTATTACAACGTCTATTTATTTAGGGTTCTGATCCAGATCCATTAAACTCACGAAAAACAAGTCATCAAGTTGGGGTGTGAAACTCTTTTTGTTAATTGAGTCATCATCACATTTTTGTTGATAGAGAAGCCAACAAATACAAAGTTATAAACAGCAATCATATCATCATATACTTTCATTTTAGTATAGCTATTATATTTATAACGCAGCACACGCAAGTAGAACTACTTTAGAAACATGTGTCCCTTGTTGACATCTTGGTGAGTTCTCTCTTAATTCTATGAGCACCAATCATCGCTGTGTGTAGGTGTGTAAAAGCTGCATGAAAATCCCAGTCAAATAAAAACTGTTTACACAATTACTATTGATATTAATGATCACATTTCCAATTAGATTCTTCTTGCACAAACATATTATATAATCGAAACAGGCCCTCATCACCGTGGATCAAATCAAATCACGCAGTATTTGAACACTGCTTAACAACAATAGCCCACTGAGGATTGACGACTGTATATAGATAGGAAATAAATACATATATGTGTCATTATTATAAAACGGACAAGTCAAATCAAGCAATCTGATTGGTTCTTAGCCGTGATATAATGAGCGTATACCACGGGTATAATTGTAGTTACTTTTCACAAGTCAGTATCCCTCCGCGTCTGAGAAAAAGCTACAACCGTTACAGCATTACGTCCGATACGAAACTAACTAACTACACAGCTCAAGATGGAAACATTTAAGGTTAACTTCGACCTCCGGGGTGGCCTTACTATGGAGGAGTGGATTGAGCAGTGCCTATCTCCAGAAAGCCCCTAAACGACGACATGCAGAGCTACGTGAAGAGCAGGTAGACCAACTGGAAAAGTACCACCATTCAAAAGCTTTCTGATGCGGGTCTTGAAACAATGCAGAGAAATTATGACCGTTAGTGGCCACAGGTGCGAAAGCTCTCTCCAGAGCTCCTGGAAGCCGAATCTCGGGGACCGGAGAAAGTGGAGCAATATTCTCGCCAAGCCAAGCAACAGCCTAGAACAACCTCAACCAACAAGTAACCTCGTAACCCATTCTACTGATGCTGGACAGTTTCTCATTGGGTGCACAATAAACAGAAACATACAAATGAATGTAAATAAATAGCCAAATAATGGATCAATGCCGTCTGTCTAATATGTTCGCTAACTGTTAGTGTTGTTGCATAGCAACCACCTCGCACTATGTGTCTCTGCGGTCCTGCCTGGGTCTTGTCATGCTGCCTCCCTGAAGGCTCCCACAGGATTGTTGACATCTTTGTGGATTCATCTTCTTATTACAGACACATGCATTTCCAAACATTTGGTCTACCTATGCTGTATAATGTATTATCTCTTTGATTTACACACGGCATCTATTGCACGTCTGTCCGTCCTGGGAGAGGGATCCCTCCTCCTGTTGCTCTCCCTGAGGATTTCGTCTCATGTTCGTCCCTTTAAACTGTGGGTTTCTCTGGAAGTTTTTCCCTGTGACGATGTGAAGGGTCCTAAGGATAAACGAGGTGTCTTTTTTTTCCTCGGACACTGATATTCTGAACAAAACTGTGCTGTTGTATTTGCTGTAAAGTGTCTCTACTGTAGGGTATTTTTATTATATGTACAGCACTCTTGGCTCGAACCAAAAATCGTTTATAATGTGCTATATAAATAAAGCTTGATTGATTTGATGTTTCCGAGTGCAGAAGGCACGGAGGGAACTATTTTATTTTGAACATCATTGTTTACTAATAAAAACTATTTAATTAGAGTTTGTATTTTTCTTTCATAATATTGCCGAACACTTGGTAACCGTTTTATAAAAGCAATAGCTCACTTCAGGCCGTGATATATGCTCATTATATCCACAGCTAAGAGGGCGTGGTTTCCGGGGCCACCCGACCACGGCCTGTCGTGAGCTATTGCTTAAATATACACAGTAATAACATTTATCTGCAATTACATCTTAATCATGGTAAGATTATTATATAGTGTACTTCAATAAAGGATCCTTAGTAAACAGGGTCTTTCTATTTAATTAATTGAAAATAAAGTAAAGGTATCTTCTTCTGCTGCGGCCTGCAGAGGACTTTGGTGTTGTGTTGCACAATGAGGAGCCAGGACAATAGAGAAGGTGAGGTGTGTGTGTTGTGTGGTGTGTGTGTGTGTGTGTGTGTGTGTGTGTGTGGTGTGTAGGAAACAGGAAAGATCAACATTGGGCAATGCATACACAAATATCAATCATAGAGAGCAATATCAAGCCAATACAGTAAAACTCTGTTGTGAACACTCTAGCTGTTACGGCAGAACAGTAAGTTATGCAAATACTAGGTGAAGGGAGCACTACTTCATACTGCTTACGCATACAGACTGTAGAATAATGGACACACTCACTAAACATCACCAAATTCCTACCGACCCTGGGAGGGTAATCAACTGCATTATTATAACTGGTCTTTTTCTTGCAATCATAAGCCTAACAAAATACATAATTACGTTTACTTAATGCCCAATTGCCTCATTAATTGTTTTCGGTGTGGTGAGTGTTTACAAAAGCAAATTAGTGAAGCGCATTTACTTGCAATAAAAGGAGCTATATAAATTATCTCGCTTGGATTGGCTGAATGGAGCAGAATTACTTAAATTGTGTTGTGAATCTTGAGATCAAAAGCTAACATTTTGTAAATTAATAGAAATAGTCTATGAGGGGAACACATGGATTTGACTGACTTCTACAAGTGTGGAATTAACATGGTTAGTTACAATGTCTTTCCTATTGCTGCAGCTGTCTGCGTGCCTATTATGTCCTGTCTCTATAATAATCTGCTGATGCCATTTAATATGGATGGTGAGTTTATAATAGCTTAAA